TATTAAAATTTGTTTATTAAAAGGTTTTTTGATCTAATTTGCAAAATCATATACATGATGAGAGATAAATTTAATTATTCATTTTCACTTTCTGTTAAAACCAATATTTTGTTTTCATGCATTAAAATATTCGTGTTGGATATCATGAATAAGTAATTATTTTTTATTGTTTTTTAGTCAATTTTTGTAATGTATATTTTGTTTTTTTTATAGTAAATTATTATCATGAAAAGTTTGAAAGGACGATAATTACCAAGACGTTTGGGCTTTTTTCTCCAATATGTACTGTAATATCAAAAATTATTTTCTAGAGTACGTTGAACGTATTAAGGGATCAAATGTTACCGATAATAATATTAAAGAAGCTTTGTCAGAGTATGTGATTAATGAACGAGATAGTATTTTGTATTTTAGTCAATATAGCGATATAGCTATAGTTGTTATAGATAATGTAGAAAAATTGCATTTGGTTAAAAATAATAGTAGAGAAGGTAAAAAAGGTACTTTTTGTCATCTTGTTAAGAATAGAAAAAAACAACAAGCTACAAAGGATTTTGATTTTAGTATTTCCAGTATTGATAAAGTTGATTTTATTTTAATAACCAATCTATTTTTCATTATAATTTTAAAGTATTTACATGATGAAAATAATAATGTTGAGAATCTTGTAAGTTAATATTATTACGTGCATTTACTTTTAACTTTTTTTAACAAATTTTATTTTGATTAAAGATATATAGATTGTCTAAACTTAATCACGAAAATTTAATCACGTTTATTAGTACTTCTACAGGTAATATGTGTTAGTTTATTAAAAGATTTATCAAATACAAATTAACTATTGTCATGATAAAATATGTAAATGATAGAAATCTTTATGATTATATTGTTAAAAATAAATCTATAGAATAGAATAAAAAATTACAGATAACAAATGACATAGTTAATAGTTTGAATTATTTGCACTGTAACAACATTATTTTTAAAGACTTGATAAGTTATTTTTTTTTAATAATAATTTATTTTTAGTAAACTATATATTTTTTTATAGAACGTAAAAACAATCTTAGTTAATGATAGAAAAGCTATACTATCAAATCCTTTATTTGCTGAATTAAATTCTGATGAATCAGCATCTAGAACATTAAAAAAAAATTTTATGATAGGGTTTATAGATCTTGAACTTTTAAAAAATCCAAATTTATCATTTACAAGATCATCTGATATTTATAGTCTTGGGATGGTTATGTGGTCAATATCGAGTATTAGAAACCCAACAGACCCTAACTTAATAAAAATTTAAAAAAAAAAAGATTTTAAATACAATGTTCTTAAATGTTCTTGAGAATACTGAGAAATTAGATCTCAAACACTATGACAAAGAACAATATTATTTTTTCAAATAAAATAAAATATAAATGTATAGTCATTTCTTATATCTAATAGAGCATTTTTTAGAAAAAAAATTGTTTAACTAATTTGAAATAATATATATTCATTATTAAACCACATTATTAATATAGCAATAAGGATAAGGGGAGTAGCACTTATTACATAATATCAAGGGGGAAGAGGGGGTCAGAGAGATCTTACATAGTATATAATATATATATATATTATATTGATTTTGATTGGCTAATAAATTTGATATGAGGAGGGGGTAGCTTCCTGATAAAAAAATATTACATAATAAATCTGACTGCCCTAAATACAATTAAAGTAAAAATTAATGAAGCTTTAGGGCTATAATTTGTTGCATAACTTAAGTTAATATTAGATTCTAAATAGAATTTTAACTTTGAAAAAAAGATTTTTTTTAAAAATCGCATCCTCTACTTAATTATTTCACATAATTTAAAAATTATTTCAAATCCCATACATAATTGATTATATAAAGTTTATAAACTTAATGTCTAAAAGAAAATAATCTAGTTATATATAGATTCTTAGCTACATAATTATTTAATAACCATTTAATATATCATAACTCTTGCGAATAAATGATTATATAAAATACCTGATTTCAATTCTTTGTAAATCTTCAAATAATATAGCAATACTGGTATTGGCTTCTTTATATATATTTTTAAAAAACAAAGCATATTAATTTTTCATAATAAAAGTATCAATTAAAATCAATCTGATACAAATCTTTCATATAATTTATTACATTTTTTTATATCGATTTCTTTCTTAATTCTGAAAATGACTAATTAAATTTATCTCTCATCATGTATATGATTTTGCAAATTAGATCAAAAAACCTTTTAATAAACAAATTTTAATA